TAAAGTACCAAATTTGATCAAAATTGGATCATTATTGCTCGAGTTATCGAGCTAACGGACACACAAACAAATATAAATAATTATACAGTATATATATCCTCTGGGGACATCGAAGCAAAAAAGTACATCAGTTCCGGGTCCAGGTATTACCATGATACCTACAGTATTAACTTATTTCCCATATGTGAAAGTTGCTAATACTCTTTAAAAAAAAATACTTATAATGGTTTGAACATTTAAAGCTATAACGTAAAATATAATTTAGTGACAAGGAAAAGCAACGAACATGTTTTTACTTCGTTATACTCAAAGTTTATTTAGTCGTTCTTGAAAGTTGTAATAACCTCAAATGCAATTGGCATTGGTGCCAATTTATAAAGTTTATTCTTCGTCTACAAAATATTTTTTCTAATATACCATCCATTTCTTTAACAGACAAATTATTGTTAACTTGTAATCAATTTACTATTACAATGCTTAATATTTGTTATCAATTTACTATTTTCAAAGCTTAATATTTTTATCTCGATGATTTAATCCATGTTATTAGGTACAAAACATATTTTAGATAGTTTGCCATCTATTCATAACTTTACATTCATATTTTTTAATATTAGAGTACAATCAGAAATGTCGATATTCGTTTGAATAGATTTCAAGAACAATACGTGATTTTGTGAGACAAAAGGAACCTCTAAAACAAAATTACAGACAATAGACAACAGAGTTCTTCTCCGAAGTATGCACCGCAAATCTTTACAACACGTCTAAACCTTTTTCAAAGGCTTTATAGAAATACTCTTTATGGTTTATTTTCACTCTAAAATAATAACAATAGTAATACAGCTCAATTTAAATAAAAGGTATCAGAATCTGACAGATAATTTCTTCCATAAGCTTGTCAACAATCATGGGTGGGAGTAACTATGATTTTTATAGGCGAAAAACACAAAAGTTGCAATAACTTTTGAACCGCAATCGTAACAGCAATGTTGCACTATTTTGTTTGGAATTATAAAGACCATTACACATTAATTTTAATCAAAACTGGGTTTTTCCTGAAACCAGATTTGTTGTTATTTGATGAGTTTTTATGGGAAAATATTAAAATAACTTTTGAACAGTAAAATCGGATTTTCCCTTATTTTATAGGAAAATCGCCATTAAAAATAAAAATGTCGAAAAAAAATTTTAACAAGAAAGCTTTATTTTTATTAATATACAAAAATAGAAGATTTTCGTAAATAGTTGAGGTATATTTAGTACTTTAAATTCATTAAACAAATGATTTGAGGGATAACGGTGATGTTTGTTAAGTGCTATCTTAATAATAAACTTTTGTATTATTTTGGGTGGCTCAGAAACATTCTGATAACATCCACCTCAAGCTAATATTCCATATCGTAATACTGACTGTACATAGGCATGATATACTGTTTTAGTAAAGTAGAATTTTGTAGTATTTCGTTGATACGTGAAAATTATTTTAACAGCATTTATTTATTTTTCAATGAGGACATTATTCACAGAAGATTTAACTAAATTAATAAGAACTAGACATTAATAACCTAGTGGGTTCGCCCAGATCTGAGGCACACTGTAAAATAATCAATTTTGATAAACATATTCAATCTTCTTTAGACTTTATTCATCCAATAGAGGGAGCTTTCGACGTAGCCTCCTGCTCTCAATTGCTTCACCAAGATTAAAAGTTAGTGCACCAGGAACGTTGTTTAAGACTTCAGAAATTTTGAGGTGGTTTTTTCAATTAAGGCCGAAATAGGCTCCACTCCTACCTCTTCATGTATATGCCTGCTTTTAATAAACCAGGGTTACATTATCTTAATCGCCAAGTGATCCAAGTAAGTCCAAAAATAGGATTACGCGCGTTTCAACGTCAATGCGTCATTGTCAAATCTTACAAAAAACTTGTCTAAATCATAAGGGTCACGCCACAGTCTTTCCGACACACACGTACAAAACTCAATAACGGACGAAAATACATTTAAGTAGGCCTACTAAGTAATTTGTGGTAAACGGTCGTCACATAGTACAGATCTGGTCGCATGCCAAGATTCATCTGAAATAATCATAAAAAAATATATTTCTTATTCTTTTCGAGAGAAAATTTAGTACATAATGTTACATATTTTAACGAAAAAGTTCTCTTCTAACACATGTGTGTAAAATATCTAACTACATCTACTCTGCAGTCACATTTATCACATGAAATACGTTTCCTTCTAAACGTTGCTCCATATTCTCTTAGCATCACTCGATATTTTAAACGACCAATACAATAGGGCTAGAGTTCTTCTGAGGTTAGCCAACGAATGCCTTCTCACCAGAAACATTCAATCACATCCTTGCTGGTATTTGCAGAATCGTCAGAAACCACCTTTCTTCGACAGTGTTCCTTTTTGTCCAATGGTTTTCAGCAGCCTAACTCATGCTTTTACATCTGCCTTTTCAGTTGTTTTTCCCTTTCTTCAATTCTGACTTTTTGTATTTCAACATGAATTTAGTCCACCCGCTGATAAATGCGAATCAGCCGGTACGATATAATTAAATACCCCACTGCAGCAAACCTGCAGACTAGGTGAATTTCCATTTGCTTGATTTGATTTTCAATTAAACGTATTTCAAAAACATTAGATATAACAAGTACCTAGGTTTGCTGCTATAGGGAGGATATTATGGGTTTTTGGTAAAATGCGAATAGCTTAGTATAAAATAAATTTGTTACGTTTTACCACAATATATCTATAAACAGGAAAACTACAACCGTTTACTTATTCCCCGTAAGAATAGCATGATAATTTTATAAATCAATTTTATTTTATTTTATCCGTACCCAATAACTATACAAAAACACTTAAATATAATAAATTATTTGTTTATTTCAAGCTCTTCAAAAATGGTTTAGAGAGAAGTTAGGAACTTCTATGTTTTAAGGGGGGAAAATGAGGAATACCTATTTTCACCATAAATCCCTCCATAAAACCCCGTTCACATGGTCCGATCATGCCCGTTCGCAAATCCGTTCGTATAAACGTAGGTTTACACATTTGTACAAAATTTCGTCAAAATCATATCATTTATGTTTTAGTTGTTTTAGAAAACCACTTTTTTGTGTTCAGGGGGCCCCAAACGGATATAGGCTTAGGCTAGGTCTTTCCACTCAAAACTCAAACTATAAAATTTTGACGAAAACAATTCCTTCTCCATATACTATGTATAAGGTGAGAAAGTAAAAATAAAAACAGAGATTGATACTCAAGTAATGTGACTTGTAGTAGATCATCTTATAAGCTTAACCTATCCAAGATCCAAGGGCTCTCAGAACACCAAGCACCCTTATAACTACAATGGACTCGTGTTTATCAGATCATCTTGCCTCTAGAGTCAAACTTACTTCGGTCAGTCTAACTAATATCGTACAACTATTTGATGTATTCATTATGCAGTTTATACTTATTTTTTTATGATCAAAGATTGTATTAGTCATAAATGAGACTGTGCACGCCCAGATCCAATACCTCATCCCTCAACCAAACTGAAAGTCTCAATTGTTTGTAAGCCATGTTAATAGTTTAAATATCGTAGGATTAGGCATAAAAGTTACCCAAAGTTTAGCTGCATATTGGTTGATAGTGCAATTTATCGTTTAAACAAATTTAAGATATCCGATTTACAATAACCACCATTTTGAATAAGTACAAATCAGAGATCTGATATTTTTTTTCTTAAGATTGGTCCTATCAGTCACCATTTAAAAATGTAGTACACATTTTAAATCAATTGCTTTAGAGGTTTAAATTTACAAATAAGTTTGAAAGATTTACATACTACTCGGTCTAAAAAATCTTGTCAAAATACGTAAAAAAATAGTTTACGTATACGATCTGTATACACCTTGTAATGGTTTTGTAATATTTTTTATTTAGGCTACTCAAAGCTTTTTTATCATGTGTATAAGTATGTTTAAAGTATTCAATTGTATTTCCAAAGGAATTTTATACATACACCAATACCGAAATCAAACACTACTTCAACAAGACTAACCTGTAATATTTTGCAATAACACAACTACATATTGATTCATATCACACTACTAAAACTACAGACTCCTAATCGAAGCTGAAATACCACTTTAAATTTGGATAAATAAACTTAACAAACCTTTTACTGAAACCCCCTCTAGCTATCGAAGGAAACCTGTTGGTCTTTTCATCATGATCCCGATTAATATGTGATATCAGTACTGAATAACCATTCTTTGCCCGAAAGGGCATTTTAAAATTACATGTTGCTTAAATGCTGCCTTCTTAACGTCAGTTAACACTGGATAGAATAATGTATATGATTTAGTTGTTTTACTAGCAAACCTAACCACTAGTAAGTTTATCACAAAACCACTGGCTTGAATAGAAATCAGTGCAACCAAACTCACAAACCCATCATGAAAACGAGTTAATAGTTGTGTAAATCTAAAATATATTATTAAGAGATTCCCAACTAATTTAATTGTTACGCGTTTGTCAGTTGCTTGTTTTGACGTTTGGACAATTTATTATTATAGTTTGTATTTGATACAAATAAGTAATCATATTACATCTGCATTTATTTTGTTACTTAATAAAAAAAATCCATTATTAGTTTTAAGGTCTTTTGACTGCAAAAATAAACTGCGAATGCAAACAATATATTCTTATATAATAATGCCGAAACGATTTTTATTGGTCGAGAGCTTGAAGTCAACCAACACACCTTACCCATAAAAAGGCTTTCAATAGGCGAGAAAGTTCGTGAGTTAAAAGAACAACTACAAGTTTTAAGTTATAACAACTTCCAACAACGATAAAACAAACTTTGCAAATTTCAAACACCAGAGAATTTTATGTTTTATTCTTAAATGTATTCTATGCATTTAAGTTTGCTGAAATACACAGATTTTCCCCAAAAGATTTTTTTAAAGGTTTATTGAATGAAAAATACAATTGGGTTTATTCATATACTAACTAAAAATACAGAGATGTCTTACATTTATTAAACATACTTCACTTCCTTATGAATTACATATCTTGATAATATTATTTGCATGTGCAATTAGCATGTGCAAGTCTCTATAAAAACTCCAGTTTATAATTTATGTTCAAAATAACTACACGCACAGTCTTAAAAATATCATAATGGTTTTTCATTATTCATACTGTTTGGTTAAGTATCTGAATTGTTTATTTAATGCATATACTATCCTTAGTATATCGTAAAAAACTTTTTTTTTCATTTACCCTTCAATAGTCATTTATGATTTTTTAAAGGTTGTTTCATAATCACTCTTAAGTTTTAATTTTTCATTTATTATCTTCACAACAAGCACAAGTCAAAAGTAAACTTGATGAGTCCTAATTAGATTTATTATAGCGAAACTGTTACTCTGGGTGTTTCGCGTTGTTTGGAGATATTCCCATGTACTCATTTCTTTATTTATCAGTTAATTCCACCAATTTTGTCTAATGTGAGACCAACACTTAGATTTGTTTAATAGAGAGCTAAATTCATTACTCAAAGAACTTAGATAATCCTGTCAAAAATGAAAAGAAAAGCTTAACAAAACTTAAACAACACTCTAAGTTTTGCACTAAGTATTTTGTGGAAAAGTAACTTCTTTTGGAAGATACTTTGGAACACCATCTTCATCAGTTGCATATTTCAACTTAAGGTAATCTTTATTTTTCAACTGACTTCCTTCGATCAAGTCCATGCAGTCATCATCCGCGTTTTTAGTAACCTCTAGTCCTGAAGGCTGTTCTTCCTTCACAAACCTGCAATTAAGAAGTAATATAGCATGTAATATGCAATGTAAAAATTATAAAGTAAAGACAATTGTTGCGAATGATATTTACATTTTCTCTTTTGTCTAAGGATATATGTGTGAACCTGTAATAACGACTTTATATGGCAGCGTTTTTCTAGCTATCAAACAAAAACATGGCTCAATGAAACACATGATCTACGTTTACTGGTCTGCCTAAAGATTTAATCCCGAAACTATAAAATATTTTAAAGCAGTTAAGTTTTAAATTTAAATTTTAACTTTACTCAACAAATAGTGTATATGGCCTTTGGAGGCATAACAAATTAAACAGTAAATTGGTGCCGGGTCTAAGTCTATCAGGGCCACCTACGTCAATAGCCCTATAGAGAAATTCGCTAACATCAAAACTACTCACCGGCCTCTTTTTTCCTTCAACACGAAAGACTGTTTCAAACACTTTTCGTCATCAATTTTGACAAGTGTTGTGAACGTGTTCTCCTCCTTGGCCTTTCTCATCATCAAAGTTGTGTTGTAGTACAAAACATTTTCTCTCATCACCAGACGATGGACGGGACTGAAGGGCAATAGTTGAGCTGTCAGTGGAACTCCCTTAGCTATCGCCAAGACCAGCTTGTGGACAGCAACTCCTCCACCTTTGATCTTGTAAAACCTCACAGCTACTCCAAGGTCCATGGAGAGGTTTATGTAACTCAAGTGACTCCATGGTTCATAGTTACTCATCGAATATCCATGTGGTTCAACTGTTAAAATAGCAAAGCTTGGGTGAATTCTAAGACTGAACATGTGTAAGATAACGTAAGAGGTTCTTGAAATAAAGATGGATAGTAATGCGACCTTGGGTAAAAAAATAAAGACTTGTGTGGTAATTAGCCTGCCATTAGGAATTCAATTTAGTTTTACCACCATCCACAGCCAAGTTTACCTAGATGATTTGATGAGTAGGCTATCTAACAGACGGACAGACAAAATCACAATTTTATACTTAGATTGAAATATATTTAACGGAATTATATGCGTTTCAACTGTGCGGGTATGGAACGTTATATTGATACTAAGCTGTGAATGAGTGAATACATTTTTTAATTATTTTCATGGCGTTCTAAAAAATATATATAATAGGCCTGATCTTGGCATAGCCTTTTTAATTAAAGATTTCTTTACACAGAAATTAGCTTGCCTCTAAGTCTTAAGAAAAGTAAGTTTAATTTTAATTTCCTACTTAAATTGTTATGTTTTTAAAACTCTATTATGGAGTTATAAGCCAACTTGGCTTGGTTTGATTCTAAATATTTCACAGGTTAGTTAGTTTTAATTTTAAGGAGAGGTAAATATAATTGTATGTGCTCTCGGTAACTGTACAGACTGTTTATATAACTTATTCGAATCCATAACTATTCAACATCACCTCTCGATTCTTAAGTTATGTCAGATATTAACTTGTGAATGAAGCTAATTTTGATTGGAAATATTTAAAATCATAGTTTTATGTCAAATTATCACAATATTCTTTAAAACAACTTGCTTGGTTTAAATGAGATCTCCAGGGTTGTGTTCTCGTAGTTTAAAGTGAACAAATGTAAATGGCATCATGTATACGTTAATACCTTAAATACTTTACCAGTATACTGTAGTCTTACTAGAATTTTTGTATTGTTAAATAAAATTTAGCAATACCAATATATCTTTTTGACAGACGATATACATACCACCCAAGTTGTTAAGAGTCAGCCTTTCTATGAGTTCTTCTATAGCATCCTTTCCTATAGTTGCTCCAGAAATTTCTCCGTTCACAGTACTGGTGCATTCTTTATTGTCAGGACTTAGATTTTCCTTTGATTTGACAATCGCTGTTGGACTAAAGAGATGCAAGGAATGATATATTAAAAGCCTTTCGAATCTGGACTATCATTCTAAAATAAACTCTATTAGAATGTGAATTAAAGACCATATAGACGAAATCATATTATTTGGATGGCCTTTAAATCTTAAGGGTGCGCTCTACATCAGCTTGGGCATCAGTACCTATGTTGCGCTATTTAACAGCGCTGCGAGAAGCGCTTGCAGACGTTTTAACCCTCTCACATTAATCAGTTAACTTTTGATTTTTTTATCTGAAGAAGGCTCCTTCCTCCTTACATTCAAATTCATGACTCTATCGTTTTCATTTTATTCTAAACATTTATTTGTATGTATAAAATGCTTTAGAAAAAAGCTTATTTAGAGGTATTTACCAGTCACTACCCACTTAAAATTATATTATTACCAAAAAATTTAAATGCTACAATCCTACGAAAATAAGAGATGATTAAATTAAAATAAATATATTTTCAATCTGTTAAGAACTAAGCTGACAATGACGGAGGTCCTAAGTCATTGCATTAGCGCCCAGCGGGCAGGTAGAACGCACCCTTAAGGCTTTTGATTCGATACCAAGAGATTTTAATTCTGGATCCAAATCTCATATGACATTGGGATGGTATAAATTATTTTATATTCAAAGGTTGAAGTTAAGAGTGCAACATTAGGGCTTTGAACTGTTTTCTCACACAAGCTTTTGGTACACAATATGAACAACAGTTTTAAATTTTTTAACTGAAAATTAATTGTTTAGATTTTTCTATACCCACATGCAAGAGTAAACACAGATAATTATACGTTACCGGCCGTCTTGAGTGGTGAAATAAATGGTCTTCTTGATGCATTTACCGCTTCTCTTAGGGTTTAAAACGACAGAAAATGTGTCGGACTGAATTCGTCTAATTAAAAAAGCATCTCCGAAGTATAAAGCATCTTGTGTCACAACCATGTTCTCTACAGGTCCGCAAGATACCTAAGGATCAGAAGATAGTTATGGAACTATTTACATCTTTGATAAACTTAATTTCCAATATTTTTCTGACTAAAAGTACCTTCACAGCAGTCAAACTCCGACCATAGCTGGTTATGACTAGAAGACGGAAACATCTCGATCCATAAGCGAAGATCCTTGTCACCACCCCTAAAGGCTCCCAGGGGTTGATGGTCGCCCAGAATCTACCAGGAGCGAACGTCCCGGTTGCTCCGTTCCCGGATAAAACTGGAGAAAGTGTCATTTGTTAGTTTTATTGATAAATTGAATTGGAAGCGTTTTGCTAACAAACTATCGAATCAAAGAAGTATGTTGGGCGTTTGATGTAAAATGAAGTACGGTGAGTAGAAATTTAAAGTTTAGTTAGTAAAATGGCCAAAAAATAAATTACCCTATGTAAAGAACTGATTTTGACACGCATGACAATTTGCAAGTTAAAGAGAATAAGTACTCAAGACATAAAAATACTCCAACAAATTTTTTAAGGAAATTGCTAAAAACTAATTACACTTTGTGAAGAAGTGGTTTTGGCACTCACAAATATTTGGAAGTTAAAGGGAAAAAGTACTCAAAGACAAAAATGCTCCAAAACGAAAGTAAAATGCACCGATGGAGGGAATTATGTACTCACCCTCACCACTGAATACCATTCTTAGGGGTTAAAACAAGGGTGTTTGACACCACAAAGTCATCTCCCGTCCCCAACGTAAGGGTGTGCAATGCCACCGGTGTGGGACAAGATGGGCGTATTGAGCCCGCGGGTCCGCAGTGGAGGAGAGGACTTCCACCATCTTAGTTGTACATATATTTACGTATACGTAGTGTATTGATGACAGTTTACGTCGGTCTGCAACGAGTAGACCGTATAGAGAGAGTGCTAACTTCTGAAAACGTCAGAAACATCTCCAGTAAAGAGCAGTTTCACAATTCAACCGGCCCAACTTGGTGTCATATTCAATACTTTTAATGTGCACTAGACTTTTATCTGTTATAAATCTCAGGGATTCCACGAGCCGGGATTTCATTACTGCTCCACATTTGCATATACTTTAGTGTGGGTCGTATTTATGAGCAGGTCTTATGTGCTACTAAATTTGAAAGGTTGAAGTTTTGTGTTCTGAGGACTAGGCAATGCATTGTTATAAATTCAGACGTTTAAACATTAAGACAATAATTCTAATTTTTTACCCGACAATGCTGAGTAGTAAGCAATTCAATAAGAGTTTTTAATGTAACGTTAGGACTAAACATATGCCTAATCGTCACCATCATTCATCATATATCCTACAAAATGATATATTTCATCCCCCTCTTCGTGGGTATCCCACGAAGAGGTCCCAATTTTTGAATCAATATATTAGACGCACCGAACACTCTACAAACCTGAAACTCAACAGTCCTAACTTACACTTATGTAAAAAATCCCCCTGAGTATCAGTGAATTGTGGCACATTAGGACAAAATTGTGGGTTATCAAAGACATATTCTGCATAAAAGTAGGTTTACCCTTGAAATACGATTGCTGATTTTGTTGTTTTCCGCCATTTAATTTATACTATCCCAATGCCATATAAGATTTGGATCCAGAATAAAAATCTCTTGGTATCGAATCAACAGCCTTAAGGGTGCGCTCTACCTGTCCACTACGCTCTAATGCAAGGGTTTAGGACCTCCGTCATTGTCGGATTAGTTCTTAACAGATTGAAAATATATTTATGTTAATTTAATCATAACTAATCTCAGAACTAATTGAGACTCTGGGCAACAATGTTACATTTTATGTGTTAGTCACGACTGTAGAATTTCAAGTCAGTAGCGCGCTCTATACAAAAACCTACTTTTATTTAGAATATATCTTTGATATCCCGCCATTTTGTCCTTATGTTTCAAACTGATACTCATGGGTATTTCTTATACATATGTGTATTTTAGGACTTTTTGTAAAACAACTTTAGGAGTGTTTGGTGCGTCTAATATATCAATTCAAAAATAGGGACCTCTTCGTGGGACACCCGATATATTGAAACGTAGCAGGTTTTTTTACTTAACAATTCTCAATCAACCACTTGACGGATTTTCACGATTTTTGTTTTGGAAGAAAGATAATTTTGAGAACTAGGGAATATCAAAGCCATAATTTTAGTTTAGGATTTCAGTTTTTTAGAAATTAAGTTTTAACCAAAAACGTCTAGCAGCCGACGCTAACATTCTAGACTAGCTTTTGGTATGTATAATACACATTGGCTTAATGCAACAGCTGTAAACATTCTGAGTTTGTAACACAAATTCACCGTTTGGATAAAAATGACATACGTAGGGGTCACTTACTTATACTACGTGTAATGCTATAATCATTGATTCATTCCTTTATTCGGTAAGAGGATGACAGATTATTTAAATATACATAGTAAAATGTTAGATGTTCTAATTTATTTAAAGAGCAGTCTTTAAAATCTTACGTTTATCAGAGTACCTGGCTATGCGTAGTGGAGAGAAGGTACACAAACCTTTAAAACAGTTAACACAATGAGTATCACAAGGTAGACGACCACTTGGAAGACCAAGAATGAAGTGGAAAGACCAAGTAATGATAAAAATCTCCAGACTGGGATCTACATTAGAAGAGAAAGGGGATGACAGAGAATGGGAGGCCAGAATCCTCTTCAGGTTTCAGTGGCAACTTAGGTAAGATAAGATACAGTAAGTGGATATGTAGCTGGTATGTAGATCAGTATGTGTGAGTTTACCGCCAATCTTACTTCAAGGCTTATCAAATCGACACAATTACTGTTTTATTGTTAAATTATCGGATTTAAAATGCATGGCACATAGGCCCATAGGTCCATAGGCTCTTATCATCGGATGAAAGAAATAAGTGGTCACGTGGAATTTGTTTAAACGATGGTTTTCCCCATTGGATCGGTCATAATATCTCTATTTGCGTGTAAACTAAATGTCCTGAATTATATTCAGTTTAAATCGACAACTCACGTAGGTAAGACGGGCCAACACCTACAGTAGTTAGTTATTAACTTACAGTATGTTTTCCCATGTTCTCTATCTTAAAAGTAATTATGAATATATTAACCAAAAACCAAATATTTAAAGGTTTCTTAAATGTAGCCTTAGCCCATACTGACTAAATAGTTCAACTTTCAGGTCATATGTGTTTTAAAAGTCTGTTTTTATAAGAATTTCTTATTCCTGATTGCAAATAAATATTTACTTACGAAACATTGTTGGCAGTTTGAAGTTTATTAAGCTTTTACAGTCGTAGTCATCGCTTTGGTCAACAACCTCGCCTTCCTTTTTGTCTTTTAGAGAGGGCCTGAAAGTTTTATGTTGTAAATTAACTAATTAACTGACACAAAATTTCTTGAGGCTCATTATAGCTTCAACAAATTCAATTACCAGTTCAAACTAAGTTTAAAAACAATTTAAGGCATTGCTTAGGAATAAAAACTACTTTGCAATAATTGGAACCAAATTATACTTACCAAATTATTACTTTATTTAGGTGTAAAATTTAAATCAAAATATGCATTTCATAATACAACAGAACCATAACTTTGCCAAATGTATAAAGATTGTCATTGAGAATTAATTAACATCTATACAAAAAAGTATAATTTTTTAAATTTGCACCTTCAAAAATTGGTTATTACATAGATCAATAAACACAACCCTAAATCAAAATTTCTTCCCCTAGTTTTTTTACGTTTGTTCTTGTAATATTGATAATTTTAGATATTTAATCAAATGTAACATAGCTGAGAGGTAAGATTCATACCGTTCTCCACCAGTTAAAGTGTATTTAGTCATTACACATTCCTCCGATCCAGGCACCTTCTCGTAAATCATAAACGTATCATCTATAGGACCAGGGTTCATCATCGCACTCCCGTAGTAGTGCAGAGTGTCGTCCACCATCACCATACCCATGGAGGGTTCTAGGGAGTCACAGTCAGTCAGGATATGTCCTAGGAGGACTCCATAAACCAGGAACACCACAACACGACGACAGTCCCCGTCGTTGTGGAAGTCAGCACCAGCTGCAGAGAATTCGCTGTCGTGGCTGGAGAACTGGCTCCAGTTAGTTTTTCTTTTGTAATCTTTGGTTAGAGGATTATAGTCTGAAAAAATAGTTATATTTAATATTCATCACTACTTGAAAAAACAAAACGTATACTTTTTGGTTTTTAATTTTGTTGAATTAATAATGCAGCTTTGAACTACGTTATCTCTGCTATTAAGGTTTGGCACATGAGTAAAAAATCTACAAAAAACTAGGTACTAAAACCTATTTATACTATAATTTAATGTTATTATGAATTTTAGGACTACAAATGAGGGAGTAACATCAAGATTATTTGCTCTTGGATGTTCCAAATGGCATCTTCCAATGAATGCAATAGTAATCATTAATATACGTATACTTGATATCCATTACGAAACTGAAAATACAATTTTATGTTCGGGTACTTTTTCCTATAATTACTACTGGTTTTATATTTTTCTATATTACAGTTATTTTAGCTTAACCTAAAACTCTGGCCCTCACATCATAGTATTTTTAAGCATTGACTATTGGATACAGAAGTTGTTGTATTAATAGTCAAAGGTTTAAGTCAGGGAGTGTTTTTAGCCCATCGGGTTGTAAATTCAAGTTTAAAGAATACTTTACTGTGTCATTATACTAGATCTATTTTTAAATAAAAATATACCAAACTTGATAATGTGTTATCTACTGTTTCCAAAGTATTTATATGTCATATACGTCGGGATTAAGAAAATAAATCCTAATAATGTAACCATTTTTTTTTACAAAACTTCTAAAAAAAATGTTTCTGAAATTCCCACTTACTCTCAATAGTTATAGGAGTTTTCGCAATATCAGAATTGTCCTCTTCTACATCCTGTTCAGTTTTTGCGTGTTCTTCTTCAACAGTTTTAGTCACATTTTGTTCATTTTCAGTCGATTCAATTTTTTCTGCTGGATTCTTTTCTGACCCATGCTGGCAAACAACATACTTTGTATGGAAAAAATAACCTTAAGCCTTAAAATTAAACCTTAGCAAGTTTATAAAATATTATATAACTTAGAATGCATACACACTTTAAAAACTGTTACATAGTTTACAACTGTTGTCAATCCGATAAAACTATTTTCATAATCATACTATTTTAATATTATTCATTGTACGAGCCCCTTTTTCAAGATGACGCAATATCAAGAAATAGCTGTCTTCTTCATCCCTTGAGTTCGGGCAGGAAGTAGGTTAGTTATGGCCAGCGTTCCTTATTTGAGCATCGTTTATATTTTATGTAATATTTGTTACTTTTGATCTCTTCATCAGTTTGAACATTTATTATTATTATGAAAATCATTATACACAAAAAAACTTTTGTTAAAACTTTGGATATCCTATAGTGATTGAAAATGTTTATAGCATTGTTTACAGTTTGATCATTACTTTTAAATTAAACATTTTTAGTACATACAGTAAATACAGATTGTACACAAAAGATTGGTACAATTACAATTCGACACTTAAGTTGTGCTGTTACTTTTTAACGAAGGATACCTGTGTGGTTTTATCGGATTTAGTTATATTCATAATAATCTTTGCCGCGTCCGTTTATATCATTGGATATTGTGACCTAAAATTAAAAATTTTGACTACCTACAAGAAACAAAAAACAAAGTTCTGCTTAGCATACTGGCTTACTAGTTTTCCTCACTCCCTTATTAAGTCTTATCACAGTGTAGTGTTGACGAAGGGCCTCTTATACCAGACATAAGAATCTCAGTTCTAATTTCACGAACTAAGAGGGGAGGTGATGGACGTTTTTTCCCGGGATACTAACTAAATGGAAGTTCCATTTTAAAAACACTAACTAAAGCCATTTCAATGCGTGTGCGGAATTCCGTTTTTCTAATTTCTTTTATCCTGGAGAAAGGTTTCTCTAATATCCTCTTAGTTTATTAACTGATGTGTTTTTGCCTTCCTTTAAAACACTACAATATGTCTCAAGAGCTGATGTCTAGAAAATGAGGACGGATTTTGCTGGCCAAAACTTAGCTATGTGCTAGTTATCTGCTATACAGTACTTAGTCTGCCAGTCAAGCATATTAATATTGGGTCACAATATCCAGATGGGCAAACTCAGCAACAAATATGACTAAAACAAAAAAAAAACAAAACTTTAGAAGGTCGATATCCACCCGATACCAGCGCCCGATACACCCGAAACAGGTAAAACTTTCTTCTTAGATTTTTCCTAGATGTTTCATAGATATTTTCCTCTTGGAAAAGTAACAGTATGGATAATGTATAAATCGTAGTTATCTTTTGAGGAATACCTGTACCTATATGTTCAAGTAGTTAAACATAATAACTTGGCAGTAAGTGGAATTTAAGGCATTTACATTCGATAAAATTGATGTAGTAAATTCTTTTCACAGTAGGCTTAAGTGAATCTAAACTTAAAAGCTACTCTTCAATAATAAACTCTTAAGTAAAACCTATTTACTAGTAAATGTATTTTCAGTATACAATACCTTGAACAGGACATAAGAGATCCCAGTCAACACAACAACACATATTATTAATGAGGTTACTACTATACAAGTGCGGGAACGAAAATTCATATTGCAGTAGACTTAGATATATGCAAGGATTAACAGAGTCAAAAATATAGATATTGGTCGGGAAAGTACCTGAAACATATGATGAATTTATAAATATTTTGTAAAAATATGAATACGGCCAAACATATTTTACAGTTTTATATAACTGCTGTACACAAAGAATATTCATCTAGATGTGATGAATCAGTCGGTTAGCTGTGCATACAAAGCCTGTAACGTATTTTGTAGCATAATTATCCTTATTATTACTATATAGGGTGACAATTCAGTCATAGGACGACTTTATAACTTAAATACAAAAAGATACTCACCCAAATATGCCTTATCATTGCTGGTGATAGTAAGCAACTTTTTTGTGTACGTGGAGAATGTAATGGGGGGTAGAGTAGTTTAAAATAAGTAAGTTTAAAATCTCAAAGGTAAGAATAGGTTTATATGTACTGTAGGTCAAATTGAAGGGCTTGTTAAACTAAAAACAGCCTATTATTTACCAGTAATGACAAATTTGGTTCTGATGCCTCTTCTCGTTTTAAAGTAAGTAATAAAGTCGTCCTAAGAATTGATTGTCATCCTGTACAATTTTCACGAAACAAACAAATTTTACGATTTGAAGATATGAAACCTCGTATAGAAAAAATAAATTCACTAAAAATGTTTTTAAATTTCATACTGATAAATAATTAGATTAAAATTGGTGACTTATGTTGAATTAAGTTTTAGGTATTCATAAAAATTATTGTAATTCAAATGCAAACTTAGGCCTATTCGTAAAACTTATTAATAGAGTAAATTCAATAATCAGATAAAAAATCATATATTTATGTTAAGATCATTTTACAGCAAAAAGTACATACAATTCATCAACAAATCACGTTCGATACAAACAAAATTATAAACAAATATTGATATATACTGTTTTATTTTATATTGTTGTATTTTGTGAAATTTTAATCGATGTTGAATAACAAAATGGGAAACTAGCGATTCTACCTTTACTCAATTTCTAAATAAGACACCGAATTTAAGCAAATACTTACGAATTAATCTCACTTAATCACATTAAAATGTTGCATAAAGCCATCACACTAATCTTGAAACAAAACCTTTGAAATTTGAAACGATTCTATTTAACATGTAGGACACTGATCCATTTACAATCCATAGCAGTGAGCAACTGTGATACAGGTGTTCGCACCAGATATTTGGCCTTGGAAGTTTCACCACATTTTAAAATCAAGCAAGTAACTGATACAAATTCTGTATACAACTCGTTTCAACTTCTATAATATTGATTTGCAATGACGAATTATAAAAAAAACATATTTTCGTAACCACCCTTGACTGGATGATAACACTGTCTAGTTCTAGTATATCATTCTTAGCAAGAAAGAAAATTAGGGGTTGGGCAAGTAACATCCATTCGTTCCTTATGTTGTTGTGTTAAGAATATTGTGAAGTATTCCTCGACGGACTTTAAAGTCATGCATTGATTTCGAACGGAAATAGACTAAAAATCTACATTATCTAGTTTAAAACCAGATAAAAAAGTTGAAGCTATGTGTTCTTTGATATTAAAGATAAAAGGTAACCATTTACTATGATGAAGTAGTTTTGCAGATTTAAAAATCTACTAATTAAATGTTCAAAGGGTTGTTTAGCCTCCAGATGACTGTATTATACTTAAAATGGTTTACGATACCTGCTAGTTAGGCTACGTTGCTATTTTTGGCAACTAGTTTCGGTTCTTCTGAACCATCATCAGTCCTCAAGGTGTGAGTTTACACTTTACTTCAGCCCAGTCCTTTTGTTTTGTCAATGTTGCTAAGTGTGATTTGTGTTTTTTGAAACCGCACGTCTATTCTATGTTTTGGTGTCTCGTATATATTTTATTTATTCTGTTAACGACCTTGTAATGTAGTAATATTAGGGTATCATAAACTAATTTAGCTAGTGTTTAAAGTTTTTTTACATCATATTTTTAGATATCCAAAATTTTTACGAGTTTCGCCAGGGATCATAGACTACATAAATCAATTGCGTTATCATACAGGGATAACGTGTGTAGGGGGGGGGGGGGGAGAATGGGTAACAAACGATTTCCATGTGAATTCATTTTATTTTTTATTTATTTTTATAGCCATTGTATACTTTATAATAACCCGTTATACATGTAATAAATTTAAAAAAAGTTACTCACAGGCAATAAAAGTATAGGTATATCGACAAATGTAAATTCGGGTAATGGAAACATGTCACTGTAGTGTCCATCAGTCGATAAAACAGATTGGAAGTAATGGAGCAAAAGAATGATAACCAGTAAAAGAGGTTCGATGTTGCTTTTTCCCTTTTTGTTATTTTCCGATGCCTAATTTAAACTTTACCAACTAATGTTATATTTATAACCAATAAATGTTGTAGTTTTCAAATTCTTAATTATTCATTCGAACTGAAAAACCTTCGGGATTATATTCAGGTGAACAATGTTTTCCAAAAATAATATCAAAGGTACCTGCATTTTAGATAACTTCGTATCAAATTTAAATTCGCTTTGATATTACTATGGTTGCAATTGACAACAGAGATAACAACACCCGCATTGGTGGAGTTGTTAAAAACGACCTGTAGAATGCACAGACGCATTACACTCTAACAGAATTGCGAAAACAACACGGTTTGCTTCTTTTGATTGTGTTTCTACCGTTGTCACCACCATCATCTTCTAGAACAAATCCAGTAAACAGTGTCTAATAAAGCAAGACTTTTCATTTATTTGTCCTGATTAAGATCAAATTTAACCTGTTATGTAGTGTGTTATTTAAAAATTTTTATTAACATCTTTATAAATCGCCTTGAACTTGTTTGGTCCATATGTTTTCCTATGTATTATATCTTTTGTCCTTGTTTGATAATTTATTATATTTATTCTATCTACTATGTAAACAACGGGGCAAAATACTGTTTCATTTAGAAATTGTATATGCTAGCATACATTGTATATGCCATCTAACGCTTGGCGAATTTTTATGTATTTTTTAAATTAACATTTTAAATGTTAAATGTTAAGTTTAAATGTTTAAATTTAATAAATTTAAAATTTTACATTAATTAAAATGTGACCATTTGTCACACAGAAGAAAAAAAGGCCATTCCCGATATACTTTTCGATTTCGTTCTAAGGATCCATGTCAAAATTTAGTGATAATATTTATAAGGAATTCTCATATAAATATTGTTTTTGAAACTAAGCAAATCCACAGCTTAGCTGCTGAATGCTGCTGAGTCCGCTGTATCAAGCTATTGCAGACTGCTTGTACCACTAGCGTAATATGCAGTTTGACTATATTGCACTTGAACTAGTCACTAACCTTTATAATATAATTTCTATTTAGGAAACTATATCAAGTTCATTGTCTTACTTTATTTTCGATCTAACATACCTTACATTATCAACCTTTTCGTAAATGTCTTTTTTCAGTGTAAAAACTGCCTTGAGTTCAATTATTTTTTACCTCAGTAATAAGGCAAACATACGAACTTTTGGTTACGTATATTAATTTTTTAGTTCATTTCAAATGTGAAATCAAATGCTGAAAAACGTAAGAAAATCCCGAAATTAATGAGGTTTATCTGCAGAAAGCTGCAGGACAATGAATAATCATTAAACTGCTGATTGGCAATCGATAGACTAATTTTCCTACAATGCCACATTTTATCTTGGATAAGGATTGATTTGGAATCCTTGCTTCTTTTTATTTATTTTGCTTATTTTGTTTTCACTAGTTTTATTGATAAAAGTTCACGTTTCTAAATAGAGAGTAGGAAGTAGGTTCTATTCAAAGCCTAATCAAACAAAAACAATTCAACAAGTAAGTATAATAATAATTTCTACACATGTTAGGGATAAAATGTAGATACAATTATATACAGGGTGTTAAAAAACTTTTCAGGACTTGGGGACATGTATCCTTATACCAAAATAAACTAGGTGTACAATGCAGTTTTCTGCTTGCAATATTGAGTGGAGCTATTAAACTAATCCAATACTTTTCTAAAGTCAATATTACTTCTCGTAAATGAGATATACTTGCAGTATCCAGTGCCAATGGTATATTTAGTTCACATAGATTGAATACTGCACATTGAACAATTGTTTTCAACTCATCTTTATCAAACTTGGTGAGATAGATCAAAAAGTTCGAATGAAAAATAACTGAAATACAACGGTTGTGGTGTAAAATAAGATTAAGTTAGTCGGGGTGGACCTGATTTTGCTTGATTTTACAATTCATTTATATTATTCACAGTTTTCATGTAATTTGCAATAACATGTTTTGAATAGCCACAACTTTCGATACGTATTCTATTCATGTTTTGTACAAAGATTGTGGCTAACAAGAAAAAAATATTTCTGCAGAATTTTAATGCTATAACTCTAACTACCAAGGAGTTTTGAATGTTGTTTGTAAAAAAACACATTCAGACAGTTTGATCAAAACGGAATGATGTAGGACACATGTTATTTCACATTCTTTGTTTCTTTTGAAATACATAAATGTAAGATAGTTTTTTCATATGGTTGCAAGATACCCTGTATATGAAGTGGGAATAGCCCTTTTATCACACAATTACAAGAACCGGCCCACATAATGGACCTTTAGTGTTTCACCTCCTATAAATGCTGGACATTGCAATTGTAACTTTACTCTTTTAGACACTGTTGTGAACGATCAAGCTTAATTTTTCCCCTACAGTGAATCGGTGTTGGCGAACATTCGGCAACATTTAGACCGTTTGGTAAACAAGATATATGTAAAACTATGCTTTATCTTCTGATGAAACGGTTTTGCTACAATCTTTGTTTAATCTGTAATTTTACAAAGCATACCAAAGATTTTGGAGGATAGTCTTAGGACTGTACATTTTTTATTATATGGCGAATTATGAACGAGTATATAAAATAAGTCGATACAGGTAGTTGCAGTTGTAGTTGTAAGGGACAGGCTGTGTATAACTGACGAAGAAATAAAGATCATGAGTTTTCAAAAGTGTCACTAAGTAAATATTGACGAAACGTAACAAAGCATGTCATCCTAGTAAGTTATTCAAAGCTGACACAAATGTGATCTATCGGTTTGACTCAGCCCCAAACTCAAGAGAACGTGAGCTGAAATTTCAGATTGTTAAATCTTAGCTTACACAGTTGCTGACATCGGACAAATAACGGTTTGTGTAAGCAAGAGATACTTGACTGTAGTTTACTTCTTTTATAAAGTGATCGATTTTTAGTGAGTTTATTGTGAAAATGTATATCGTGTTTTGCAACAACAAAAAATATTCGAGGTAAAACGTTTTTTTTCAAATAACTGTTGAATTAATTAAAATAAAACGTAATACTTTAATAAAATGGTAAATTGGTTCCCTTTGCTTAATTTTAGCTAAAACCAACATAAAATAGAGTAGCGTTGTCATTGACTGTTAGGCTAAACATTTAATCTTAATGTTAAAATGTATTAAAATTCAATATAGTTGCCTTGGAACTGCAATATTGACTAATTATTGGTTCAATTACCTGTCATCACTTCCAAATTGTAATCAATTTGTAAAATCAATTAGGTAGGGCTGTAGCCATATTCAGAATTTAAAAGTCAATGTCAAAACTTAACTTACATGCGTTGAACCTATTTGTTAATGAGTTGTGGCTCTCAGTTAAAGGCTATGGATAACTATACTAATAACTATGCATATCCATGATTTTAGAATTAAAGTATTGACCCATTTACCAAATAACCAACATTTAAACGCTATGTTTATTGGGGAACGTATTTTCTACCTTTAGAGCCTTCATCAGTTTCCTCACACTGGGTTTAGTTAGTTGTGCCAGTGGTATTACAATTATTTCGTTCAAGTTTGTTTCATTTACATCTTAATTGCATTACCAATTGAGATAGGGACGCCACCCTACGATAGGTGAGTTTAACACAAAAAAGAATGAAGAATGAAGTATTATGTAACTTTGTTACTAACTAAGACCAGCTGTTTATCTAGTCAGGACAATTCATAAAACATAAAATTCTCAGTTATTCTTTGATCAAAAACAGCTGGGTCTAGTTTTGAACAATGAAAAAGGTCCTTACCTTTCTCAGGATCGAACCGGAGCGGTACTGTTT